GGTAACTGAGATCATGGAAAGCAAAACCACAGAGAGTGAAACCATGAGAAGGGGAGAGTACTATAGTAAATGGAGACAGGCAAATAAAAAAATCTACATTGTGACAAATTTTGAAATACAGAAATTTCCTCCAGACACTATTCCCTATATCAACAGGAAAATGGAAAATATGCTTTCTTCAATAGTGGAAGCATAAAGTAAGAAAAATATTAGGTTTACCATAAAACATAAAAGGTTTGTCTTATTATTATCTATACGACGGCAAATAAATACTACTCATCTTAGAGGAACTCGGGATAAATACTGAATCACCAAAAAAGCATAAAATTATTAACACCTTGATAATTATTAAATATTATTTTTATTCTAGTATATACACAGATGTGCCCATCAGAATATTTCATTTCTGTGAACAGAGACTGAAATTATTATTTTCCTTTATAATGTTGATCTTTTAGAAGAAAACTTCTAAGTTTTACAGTATCTGATCAATGTAACAAGGTACAACAGTGAGTTTTTCATTAATCTCCTTTATTGGAAAACACTTTAAAATGACCAAAAGGAACTTTTAAATATGCTCTAATTAATTCCTTCATGGATTAATTTTAAGAATAAGACTAAAGAAAGCAAACCATACGGCTACAGCCACAACTTATTCATATATTACTGCATTCTTTTTAAGGTAAAAAAAGAATTAGCTGAAGGTCCAATCAAAACATATATTGAATTATCAGGTAGACTGCAATTTTTGTTTAAAAACACTACAGATGGAAAGGGAATAATGAAACAAAAGGGTAGAAAAAGAAGACAATGTTCTAAAACAAGTGAAAGTAAAAGTCAGAGTTGGACATTGATACAAGTTTATACAATAAAGTGTTTCTTTTTTTGCATATCACTTAAATCTTTTGAAATTCTTTAACTAAAAACACACACCCACAAAAATTATACTTTAGTCTTAACAGTGAACATTAAAAATTGCTTACCTTGCAGATTATAAGCTGCTAACTGAACTGCTGTATCAAAGGGACATTCTAATCTGAGACCAAAACACAAATCTGTCAGGCAAGTCAATTTCATAACCTTCATTTTAAGATAAATGAAAATAATACATACTTTATACTGACCACTTCTTTTTCATAACTATGAACTTATTTTCAAAATAATTTTTCAACCACCCAAGAAAATGTTTAGTTTACCTTACATAACTAATACTCACTTTCCACTGAGAATATCTTGTTTTAACTGAAGAACAAATAAATACCTAAAAAAAAAAAGGCACAAATTTAAAATAANATTTTAAGATAAATGAAAATAATACATACTTTATACTGACCACTTCTTTTTCATAACTATGAACTTATTTGCAAAATAATTTTTCAACCACCCAAGAAAATGTTTAGTTTACCTTACATAACTAATACTCACTTTCCACTGAGAATATCTTGTTTTAACTGAAGAACAAATAAATACCTAAAAAAAAAAAGGCACAAATTTAAAATAAACAGAATAATCTACTGTAAAAAAATAATCCTACCCTTCTAGTTTGAGAAGAAATATTCTTAATTATAGAATTTTACCCACAATAAAGTACATAAAGGAAAAAAAAAATGGGAAAAAAGGCAATAAGCATCAGGTGGATGGAAGCATGATCACAAGATAACAGCAAGGAACAGCAGGCCACAGAGTATACACAGTACAGCAACCTTAAGAGAAAATGATTAAAGCAAAGTACTGAGATAGAGGTCTGTGATCTAACTTAACTTTACTCTGATAACACATTCACCTCATAAGTGAGGGGATATAGGCATGGATATAACTAAGGATAGTAACTATCATCTCACTGTCAGGGTGTTTAAGAGGAAACCCTTCAAAGGGACTCAGCAACTTTTTCACATAATAATTAATGTGTGTATCGAGTCATGGATTTGCAATACAGAGTCAATGACTAAATACCAAGGAGGCAGGAAAAAATAAGAACAAGTGTATATAACAAAGTTCATTCAAAACTATTCAAACCAAATCAGGATCTAATATTTTTCATTAATCGATGGCATTTCAATGAATAAAGTAAGTCAGAAGCCAACTTGAATAAAATCCCCGTAGCCAAAGATAAATTATTTTGAATACCAATAAACATAATATTGCAATGTGTGGAAACACATTAATCCTGTTTCAAATTCATGAGTTAATAATGATAATTTAAAAAAGTACTCACTCTTCACCTTTGGTGGATGCTAAGGAACCAACTCTACTTTTCTTAAGACAATCTTCCAAAACTACCAAAATACTCCTGCACAATTCTAGATAGTGGTCTTACCGGGTTAGCTCTTCACGAAGATTATTTGGTTCTGAGGAATAAAACTTAACTCGAAGATGCAGACAATAGGGTGAACCAACTGCCATTTAAAAAAAGGAAAAAAAAAAAAGCTTTCATTTCTATTTAACTATTAATAGTAAAAATTTTCAGCCAATTTGTCAAAAATCTACTAAAGTGAGACAGAAGATAACAGGTTATATGGCATTATTAGATTTTAGGCCTAAACTTGACACAAAAAGATGAATCAGTAGGTTTTCTGAAATGTACCAACCATCATATGGTACTACCACAATTATCCCTCATCCCAAGAACTGAGAGCTCTGGATTAATTCTAACAGTCCAGGGCCAAATGCATAAAACAAAAGTCTTGACAATGCAATTTAACAGCCGTGAAAAACTTGAGGAGCTGTATTTTCTTGAGAGCACTGAGGAATGCCTATGTTATTAATTGCTCGTGGTCTTCCCACACACTTTCAAATTCACTTCAGCTAGCTCACTAACCCCCATATTCTCAGTGTCCCATTATTTTGTAAAAACAAGGTTTGTGCTACCCTGAAAACTCTGATACTACAAAGGACAAGCTCGATTATGTACACTGGTATTTTATCCTGACTACTGTTAGGAACACTACTAAAATTTTACGTTAATTGTTTCATTTCATTATTCTTAATTCAAAATGTTACAGCCTTAAAGTCTCAAAGTATTTTCTAGAGCAGGGAAGATGCCAAACAGAAGCCAAACATGAAAATTCCAACCCACATAATTACTAAATAAGAATTAAGCATTTCATGGGAAAACCCAATTTGCAAGCTGCAAGGCTTTTCCCTGGAAACTTAAAAACCAAGGCACTTGAATCTAGATTAGTATCAAACCTATACAACTTCAGTGGTGGGTGAGTATATCTGAATGAAATAATTTTTAGAAAGCGGAGATGCTAAAAAAAAGTTCATTTGAAACATTTAGTAAGGATATTTTTATATCCTTGCTACTAGGAATCACAGTTTCTAATACATTTGATTTCCATTTCTTTCAAATAATTTTTCAACACTTACTTTTTACTTGCTTTTTGATACTTTTAGTACCATCCAACCAATGCTGAAAACAAAAACAAAAATGCCGTAGTTAAGCAGATGACAGAACTTTAAATTTCTAATTACTAAAAATTATTTTTCATCTTGTCTTTGTTGCTAACCACAAGGAAAAACCAGAGTAAGTAAGAGAGAGAGAGGTGTTATCTGCCCAATATCCACAGCAAGCTTATGACACATATAAAAAAAGACCTAAATCCTGATATGTGACTTAAAACATTTCCTTGCTCTATCAGTAATAAGGTTGATATTCTAAATTTTGCCCTTAGCTTTCCTCACTGTTCTCAATTAAATGAATCTTTCAAAACTGTTAAAATTAAAAACAAAAATATCTTCATATTCCAGTGTCTGGTTCATTCTTGTAATAAAAATGTAACTTGCATTAGCAGCTCAAAACCAAAAATTAGGTGAAATAATAATGTCACCTAAATTTACAAAATAGATCTCACTCAGAAGTAGTACTCTTTGAAAGTGCCTGCAGGATAAAATCAGATCTTTCTCATAACTGAGGACCTATCTACTAAATGAAGCTCATTTGCTTTACAAATAAAAAATGTTAACATTGGGACTATCAAACTTCTCTGGTTTTAAGAATAACAGCCTTATGATTTATGTAACCTCTTCGCTCTGAAATGCCCATGACACAAACAGATCTAAAAGCCAATTCCAGATTCTTCTGCTGATAAACCATTCCCAGCTCACTTCTCATTATTAATCCCTTTATTCGACCAAGTCCTAACAGTGGCAGGATGCACTCATCCAACTAAAACAAATATGATTGTGTTCTCGCCAGCATGCTTTTAATTCCAAGCACCCTAAACCAAAGGAGTACTCTTGTGCTAACTAGTTCACAGAGCCAAGGAATCCAGTTTCAGAAATCCAGATAGAAAGAGCGGGTAAACAAGGATGCATTATTAACAGACTTGTAACTGTTTGCTTTTCTTGCCAATTATTTGCCTAGCCTCTTTTCTCCATTCTCTCCCAAGATCCAAAAAGTGAAATTCACAGAACTACCAGTGTGCCAACAGAGTACCTTTCCATATTGAAATAAGACGCACAGTAAATATTTCAGAAGACAACTAAATACTGTACAATATTTTCTCTGGATTCCAAGTATGTGGGCTACTTAGCCATCTCTTATCTTTTAATAAATTCATTTAGACATCCACCTTTAAGCATATTCCAATCTAGCAAATGTTTAGTTTTAAACATCCCTCCATTAATAGAACACTAGACCTGCCAGTAGGCAGAAAACAATTCAATCTATTAGAAAAGATTTAACCTATGGCAACAAACAGTCCATCCAACACTACCCTGCCCAGAAACCCAATATTCAAAAACTTCGGACCTAAATGTCCCAAACACCTACTGTAGCCTGATGCGAATCACATACCTGGTATGGGATAAAACTAGTTTTCATGCCCCAGATTGTTTTCTCCCCAGAACCATGGACCTATCTTCAAGTTTTATCTATTATACTGCAATGAAAAAAGAAATATATGGTTGGTCACATGGGCACTGGCTCATATGCCATAATGGGTGCAAATGAGCACAACACTTCCAGGATGTAATTTAGCTAGGCAATAGCTGATGCCTCAATAATAACTACGTATCCTTCACCCAGAAATTCTACATTTAGAAGTCGTTATAAGCATATGTAGATTTACCTACAAGGAATGACATCAGAGAAAGTTAAGACAACCTAAATATCTAACAATAGTGAACTGGTTAAAATAAAGTATTTTAATATGATACATATACCATACATATATTTTAATATTTTAATATGTACCATATTTTAATATGATGCATACATCACACAGCAATTAAGAAGAATCAAAGCAACTACTTAAATATCTGAAAGATTACTTACAATGTATTGTTACATTTAAAAAGGCAGGTTACAAAATATTATAAACATATTTCTCGGGCCGGCCCGGTGGCGCACTGGATAAGTGCGCCGCTTGGGAAGCGCGGCAGCGCTCCCGCCCGAGGGTTCGGATCCCACATACAGACGGGTTCCCGCTCACTGGCTGAGTGAGGCGCGGGAGCAGCACCGAGGGTTGCAATCCTGTTGCCGGTCCCCGGTCCGGTACGGGGGCAACACTGAGGGTTGCGATCCGTTGCCGGACACGGAAAAAGACAAAAGACAAAAAAAAAAAAAAAAACATATTTCTCAGAGTTTCTTCAAACAGGGAAGAAAAAAAATGTGTGTGTGAGTGTGCATGTGTTGGTAAAGCGTGAAGAACATTAACAGTGGACTGAAAATCAGGCTAAATATAAGTTTTAACAGAATAAATTTTGAGGAATAAAAGAAAACATTAATATGAGAGATCACTATTTAAAGAACAATCTAAAGCCTTTCTTAGACAGTTCTAACTTAAATTCCTCTGTTTAGAACTATTTAGAACTAGTCTCATAAATACACTTTTCTATTCTAATTGGTACTCTCTTATCCCAATTAAGTAAGAAGCACATTAAACATAAAATTATCACAGTGAGAAAAATGATCAGCATTATACTCCAAGCAGGTATTTTAATCTCTTTTCTACCTATATGCAATAGCTTCCAATATCTGCACTCCCTTAAGATGAGCCAAAACTCAGATAAAGCATCAAACACATTTTATTTAAAGTTGAGATTTAGGAGCTGGGAGAGTCCAGGGTGACATTCTTGGGAAGGTCTGAGTTCATGTTTGTATATTCTCAAGTCTGTTTTCTTTCATCTCCTTCACATTCCAAGACCAACGACTGAAAATTTCAGAGACAGGCACTGACAGTGTTTTCCTAGAATCAGCATCTTTAGGAGTTTAGTTTAAATTACATTTAGAAGATAAAAGTGAGAGCATGCAGATATATGATTCTTGAGTGCCTAGTGTGAAACTAATAAGTTTCTCTTTCTTCATTGCACCTTAAAAGGAAACAAACTCCCTTCTTATAAAAGTTTAGTTGATAAAACTTAGATATCAAAGGATGCAGAAAGCCACATTTCTTTCCATCTATTGACTCGGGCATGGAACAATTATTTATTTTCATGTCTTAAAATATAATCACAAACACAAAAGAAAACAGCTCTTCAAGGATAATTCCTGCTTTTTAACGACATACATGGTTCTAATAAAGAAAAGCACCATTATTCTTACTCAAAGAGCAAAGAGCTTAAAGCAGAGAAATGTTAACCATCTTTCACAACAACTGCCTCTGCAAAAAATATTTCTTCTGAGAAAAGATTATGCTGTAAATTAAAGAATTATTTTACAACCAATTTTAACATTTTAAACAATTTAAATAAAATTTTAAAAATCTAGACTAACTATACACTGGGGAAGAGACTGCCTCTTCAGCAAATGGTGCTGGGAGAACTGGATATCCATATGCAGGAGAATGAAACTAGACCCATACCTTTCACCATACACTAAAGTCAACTCAAAATGGATTAAGGATTTAAATATACACCCTGAAACAATAAAACTTCTTAAAGAAAACACAGGAGAAACACTACAGCAAATAGGTCTGGACACAGACTTCATGAATAAGACCCCAAAAGCACGGGCAACCAAAG